GAATCGATGCTCAGCTCCTTATCTGCGGTAGGCCTAATGCGTGTTGCAGTTGCGTCGTCATATCTGACTATAACATAGCCTATATAACACGCTCTGCACACTTTTATTTTTTGCCATTTTTGGGAGGAGTAAAATTCACAAATGTGGTTTCAACAACCAGATGCATTTTCACTTGTCCAGTTTCGTCTGGAATGCGGCCCAGACCACCTCCTGATGTGTTTTGAGCAAACAGATTCAAATCGTCTCAAATACATTTCGGAGGGCATTTATACCTGTTCGTTTTACAATCGGATAGCTATCCAATCACAGAAAATGCATGAAGTGGCTAGGTGTAAACAGCCCCTAGGACACAGTTAATGTGTTTTCTGAACACAGTTATACTGCAGCCAGAGAAAAACTACTAAACTATCAAGGGTCAAAAGCCCAACTACAGAAAAAAACAATCACAACAATAGTGACTTGTTTGTTCCTCTTTCCTTCAGTCATTCTGCTTGTAAGGTCACATTATCACTAATGGTCACACTGAGACACAGGGGGTTTTGCAGTTCCAAGGATGTCAAAAAAACAAAAAAGGGGGCTATTAGTATACTACTTCTAAACTAACAATAAGAAAGTATATTTTGTCTACTTTGTATGTACTTCTCACAAATACTTAAAGCTGCAGTCCAGAGTTTTTCCTCTTTGTCGCCATCTCTGTTCGAAATTGTGGAATTATCAACTTTACGTGAGTTGTACTTCAACACCCTCGACACGGCACAGCGTGGATGAACACAATGTTTGAGGAGAGTGTGCGGCTGTCAGTCACCGCCCCAGTGTGGATTCTGTTATTCTATTTTTATTTTTGGAAATATGACCAATATAAGAATCTTCACCGGAAAATGGCATCTGAGTAACATTCACTTTTGTTCTGGTTCTGACATTGCAGTAAATGATTAAATCTAACAATCGCTTATAAGTTATCATATCACGCAAAACTGTCCAAATTAAACTCTCAAATTGTTCTCAAATTGTTAATGTTAACAACGTAAGCAAGCATTACGTGACTGCATGTAATGTCCTTCCGATCTGTATCCCGATGTGTATGACCCTAGTTTTCGCATGGGTCAGGTTAAAGTCTCTTTTTTCTGTACATCTCCACCTCCAAAACCCTCACACTAAATATAGCTTATAGCTAAAACTCCTTCTTACAAGTACTTGCAGTATAAAACTAAACAAGTAGAGTAAACTTAAAAGTGAACTCAAACAAAACCACCAGGCAAGTATTTGACTACTAAACCTAGAATCAGTATACCTAGAAATTCACTAGTAATATAGTTGCAGTACAAAAAACAAAAAGCAACAACAACAAAAAAAAAAAAAAAAACCTTAGTTGTAAACTAGTTGTGTACTCAAAGTGTGTACTGTTACACTTAAAGTACACTTAAAAGTTATACATAAAAAGAACGTTCCCCGTTAGGCACCTTCTAATACTTACAGCAGGATAAAGTGGAAGGTGACATATCACAAAGCTCAAATCATGTCAAACATTTCTTGAGTTCTTGAACATGAAAATGAGTTCACTATACTCAAATGACCTCCACAGTTCCAGATCTCAATCCAATAGTGCATCTTTGTGATGTGGTGGAACAGGAGATTCCATTATGAATATGCAGCCGACAAATCTGAAGCAACTGCGTGAGGCTATCATGTCAATATGGTGGACCAAAATGTTACAAAGAAGATGGCAAAAAGAAGGTCCAAACCAGTCCTATGTACAGTATATATATATATATATATATATATATATATATATATGTACTGTATGTGTGTACATATATAAAATCCAAAAACTGCAATAAACTATCTGCATATACTGTACACTATTATACTCATTCTAATTTTTGTTTAACATTATCTTTCCAAGTTCTGTGACCAGCGCTAAGGGAGAGAAGTCAGAGCTGTTTGTCTTGGACTGTCACACATAAGATGGCAACAGTGCTATTTTCACTGGCCAAGATTCACACTTTCACTGGCTAAACAGAATAGCATTTTGTATTGTATTCTTGATGTAAAGTTTAAAAGATGGTGTATTGCAGGTTTTTGGATTTACTAAATGGCACAGTGTGTTTTGTATGGACAGTGTATGATAAATAACTCACCTGTTTTTTTCAATTCTGTCATTTCTGCATAAAGATGATCAGTCTGCATTTACAAAATAGTAGTAGTGTTCCTTTAAAATACAGTAGTCAACATTTGAAGTGGATCAAAAAAAAGATCAAAATTCATGTATATTGATGAAAGGTTTTGATCCACTTAAAATATCTACTGTATAAATAATAACTGCAGCTGTATGAAGAACAGACTGAATTATTTTTTCATTAATCATTAATTAATGAAAATGAATGTCATGTGTCATTAATTACATATGACTCTATGAGTATCTTATGTAAATGTGTTGCATGCTATCATCCCACTTCTTTGCATCGTTACAGAGAACCTGAGTAATCCTGCTAGAGAAATAAAGACATTGATGCAATATGGGTTCTCTCTTGGCTCTGTTTTATGTGTTTATCTCTCCTTTTGTGTTTAACTTAGGCATATCATCGCCGGTATCATGAAAGGATATAGATTTCAGAGACGCTCAAAAGCACATATTGTCTCAAAACAGTAGAGTGCTGCTTCTCTCGCCAGAGATGAATGCAAATAACATGTTAGAGCGAGATGAAAAAGCAAAAGTGTTTTGCTCACAGGCTTACTCAATATACATCCTCCCACTCATGAACGATCAATGCAACGCTTACAGCTTCCATGTGGTGAGTATCATCTTGTTGCAAAGCAAGTGCCAATACAATCAAAATTGAAACTATGCAGGGTTTACATTCTGTTGTTTTTCATAAAGGAGAAAATATGGCAGTGGTTTATTGAATGGATCTTAAAACACTAGTTTGAGAGGATAACCAATTTTGTGAATAAAATCTCCAACAAATTCAAACTGTTCTTACAGGTATGCAAGTCTAGCTTGTTTAAGTTGTGTTATTGCTAGAGCATGTTAGCACTTGGCCAGTTATTTTTAACGCACAATAACTGGAATTTATTGAGTAATATCCTGATATTATATCGAGGTTTTGGTATTTCTTGCAAAATAGCTCTCAACACAGACTGATCCCAATATGGATTTGATGGAAGAGATGATGTGCGAGATATTAGGAATGTGCAATAGCCTTTTCCTCATTTTATTTCCTTCCACATTTAACACACACACACACACACACACACACACACACTTTAAATGCTCCTTAATTCCATTTAAACAACTATCTATTTCCCAAAACAAACAGCAACTGTTCAATAAAGCACAATCACATGGCTGAATTTTACCAGCACTGCTTTAAAGATGCAATATGTATACCAAGATTAAGAAGAAATGTGCGTCGCTAGGAGTCGCTAACCTCTTACAATAAAAAAGGCGTAGGCTGATGACGCAAAATTTCAACTGAATTATGAATTATTATAATTAATTATTAACTTGTCATCAATCTTATGGATCTAATAATGCTTATGGATGAATACATTGATGTTTTTATCATGACTTTGGCAGGGGCGTAAGAGCCATTATACGTGGGGGGGAGCCATTTTGTTTTGCATTGCCTGCCTATCTCTGCCAATTTTGGAGTCTCCCAATTAATCCATTCTGCAACTTTTAAATACATAACAATTCAATTTTTAAAAAACGGCCGGTATTCTTCAGCTGCTTATGTCAGTCGACCATGATCATGCACCGCTCGCGCATGCACATCTAGTGACGCGGATAAATGGACGCATTAATATGTTCCTGGGAGATCTGTAGTTGCACGGGATGTGGAAGCGCGCAAAAGTTCCAGAAATGTACAAAAGTGCCCTGGCCTTAAATGACAAGGCAAGGAAAATAAGACTAAACCAAAATTAAATAACCAAGACTTGGTTAGTATTTTTCTCAGGAGATGTTTTGAGCATTTGACTTCAGACACCGGATTATCAGCAAACTGCCAAAAGAACTGCTAGCTGGCTACTCAAAATAAACTAGCAATCTATTCAGACAGCATATTTGTGTTTGATCTGTGTGGAAAAACTTGAAATATAATTGCTAGACCTACTTTTAGCTACCAAGCAACCTTTCCACAAGGGATAGATTGATTTTATTTTTTAGTATTTTATAGTTAACGGAAATCAAATCAACCATTTATTTGAGTTAATCAGTACTTGACTGATTAACAGTAATTTAAATGCTAAATGCCCTAATACATGTTGATACTACAACAATGCAAAGTACTGTATATGCTCTTAACCAAGCAGTTTTTCACATATCATGTAAGCCTGAATTTCTCCATTTCTTTGCACAAAACACTCCAGAGAGTGTCATTTAATGGTTTATTTTTCAAAAAACAAACAAACTAAAAAGGTTTTTCATGTAAAAACTGTAACACTCAATCAAGCGTAAAAGAGGGAATATTATGGAGGAAAAGTGAAATGTTGAGGTTTGATGGCAGATTGCAATGAGACAGGCAAAAGACAAGCACAACCAAGTTCAGAGGATTCAAATATACTATATATTTTTATAAATATTAAACAGACAAACAAACAAAACTTATTATTTTTCATTTATAGTCATATTAGTATGACCACACCCATCAACAGAATTAGGGTGAAAATACCCTGTGGTCCAATGACTATGAATATTTCATTCATTTCTTATTCGTAGCATCAGCTGTGAACAAATATCATGTAGTTGAATTATCACAATCTTGTTGATGTTTTACTTAAATATTTTTTTCTGACAGATCACGCACAAACATTTGTAGTAGCCCACTTAACTTACTTCTGACACTGATGACATCATCGAGGCTGATCGAGACGGAGGAGCAGCAGAGCAGTAATGATCCGACAGGAGACTGAGCTGCTGTGAGGCACTGCTCTCCTGCTCATGTGGAGTAAAAAGCGCATATTTGGGAAATACCGGAGCTCCTTATCCAATGTGTGGATTGCTTCTTAATTTACACGAATATCCTTTTGCAGCGATGGTAAGTAACAGCTAAAGCCATGCATTTTTATTCACAAATAAAGGTAAATCAATTTCTTGAAAGAATAAGTTAGTTCTATAACTTAATCTGCTCTCGCGATAAATATCTGTAGCCTTCTAAGATGATCAATACTAGGCTGTATAGCCTCAAGAAGCATGTATAAGGACAAACTTGAGAACTGAGTCTTTCAGTCGGAATAACTGTCGATCTGCTGAAGTTAATCAAAAACTTTAGGCTACAATACACGTTCAAATCATCCACATAATTAACTTTCAAATAAAATAAAATTAATAAACTACCAGTTTAATACCAGTAGGCTAAATTTTTGTCATTTTATTTAGCTCATTTAGGCTTGCCTCAATCTCAATTAAATACTTAAACGTTAACTTATAGACTATTTTCTCTCATCAACGTTATCGCAAATATAGCCGACACTTGTTCGCTTACATTCTTATTAGCCTAGTACCAAAGAGACAAATACGAAAAGAAATAGGCTATAGCCTACATTTTAACCTAAATGTTTTTGTTATTTTTTGCTAGATTAGTTTATATGCTTCTGTTAAAAATATACTAAAATTGACAACAATAGAAAAGCAGTAAACTACGCAAATAAGTTGGGGGGGGGGGGGGGGGATTCCACTCGGCGCAGCCCGTTATCAGCTGTCAATCAAAATTAACCGCACTTAATTGTCATACATTTTATATCTAAATACGATCTAAACAAAGGAAAAAATTCACCCCCCTCACAGTTGTCAGGCACGTGGAACATGCATATTGAAGATTAAAATAAAATTCCATGGTACCAAACTGTAAAAGCATGAATTTACTGTCCATAATAAACCACAGTCTATGGTTTGGCTACGGTAGAAACATGACGTCACAATATGTCAACCCTTATGGAAGGTGGTGCCCGCGGTTATGTAGATGTCTCATTCTAAGCCTTAGAATAGGTTAAAGTTAGAGAGAGCTGCCATGCCAGACGGATAAGTCCTTTTCATGTTTAACAAATCAAATAATGCATGTTCTACATTTTATGATCAAAGTTCTGTAGTTTTATTGTGGGGGGAAACATTTAAATGCATTTTAACTTGATTTTAAAAAAATGTGAATATAAATATAAGCTGCATCAGTCCAGTATTTATCTTAAAAAAATATTTAAATATCTAATATTTAAATAAAATAATTTACATCAAAAAATAAAACAAACATGGCAATTATAAAAATTAGTAACATGTGAACAAGACCTGATGGTGGACATTTTTAGAATTGTACTATAGGCCTAATGCCATTCACTTGCTTAAAATTTGTAAACTACAGTATCAATCAGATGACAGAAGACTTGTAGAAAATGTTTTTTCAGCAAAGTTTTGATTTAATTTAGAGGACTTATTCACATCAAATATGATACGGTAATCTTTATGGGGTTGAATAATTTTACATGGGGGTTGAATTACTAAATTATTTTGCTATTTATTTTAATAACAGTATTTTTCTCCACCTGTTGGTCTTTTCTTTTTCAGTTGGCTCTGTAATCACCTGGGTCACAATGGCTAAATCCTGGATTAACCATTTTGTAATGCTGTGTATGTGGAGTTGCTTAGGTGCCCAGCAACTGGAAGATGCACTGCCTTTTCAGTTTACTCATCCAATTTACAATGTAACGATATTTGAAAATTCAGCCGCAAAAACCTTTGTTGAATGCCCCATAAAAATGGGCATTTTCAAGGCGAACCAGTCTTGGGACATTTGGTACTTAATAGAATCCGGAGACCATGATAACTTATTCAAAGCTGAAAGATATGTTTTGGGTAATTTCTGTTTCCTGCGAATACGGACCAAAGGAGGGAATTCTGCCACTCTCAATAGGGAAGTAAAAGACCACTATCTACTGTCTGTAAATGCTATTGAAAGAAATACTGGTGCTGAGGCACAAACACAAGTTAAAGTACAAGTTCTGGACACAAATGATCTCAGACCTCTTTTCTCACCGACTACATACAGTTTTTCTGTACCTGAAAACTTAGCCATCAGAACAAGCATAGGCAGAGTTTCTGCCACAGATGCTGACACAGGCACCAATGGAGAATACTATTTCAGCTTCAAAGAGTGGACTGACATGTTCGCCATTCATCCTACTAGTGGGGTTATAACTCTGGCAGGCAAGCTGGATTACTCTGAGGTGGCTCTTTATGAGATTGATGTGTTGGCCGTGGACAGAGGTCTTAAGCTCTATGGGAGTAGCAGCAGCAGCAGCAGCACAGCAAAGATAAAGGTGCACGTACTGCAGGCCAATGACCACGCACCTGTCATCACAGCTGTCCCCTTAACTCCATGGAACGCAACCAGGGATCCCACATATGCATATGTGACTGTGGACGATGGTGATGAAGGGCAGAATGGCGAGATTGCCTCTTTGAGCATCGTTGCTGGAGATCCACTCCAGCAGTTCAAGACATTCAAAACAAACCCTGGGAGCAAAGAATACATAATCAAGGCCATTAAGGCAGTGGAATGGGAGGGTTATAGTTTTGGGTACAATCTGACATTGCAGGCCAAAGATAAGGGAAATCCTCCAAAGTTTTCCTCAGCCATAGTTGTGAGGGTGAGATCGCCCAGTGAATATACAGAGACTCCTGCATTTGAGAAGAGCATCTATAGAGTTAGTCTCAGTGAGTTTGCGCCACCTCACTCTCCTGTTGTTATGGTCAAAACTGTACAGAAACATTCTAAGATTAAATTCTTGTTACAATTCAAAATGCAACAACATGAGAATCCATTTGTTATTAATCCGAACACAGGCCTTATTACCACCAGGGCACCTCTAAATGCAGAAAGTGCCAGTCAATATGAATTTGATGTTGTTACCAGTGACAGGCGAGCAGTGACCAAGGTGGTGGTCAGTGTAATTGATGAGAACAACAATACCCCAACCTTTCAAAAATCTCATTTTGAAGCCAGTGTCGCCGAACATGTGCCCACTGGGACCAGCGTCTCAACAGTCAGTGCTACTGACAAAGATGACGGAGAAAATGGATATGTCACCTACAGTATTGTCAATATGAACAAACAGCCTTTTGAAGTGGATTATTTCTCCGGTGTCATTAGCACCACGGAGGATCTAGATTATGAGATAATGCCGAGAAAATTCTCCCTAAGAATTCGAGCCTCAGACTGGGGTTCCCCTTTCCGCCGTGAGGCCGAGGCTGTGGTTTCAATCACTCTCACCAACCTGAATGATACTAAGCTGCAATTTGAGTATATCAACTGTGATGTTACAGTGCCAAGAGCTCTAGCAGTTGGTGAGCAAATAATAGTCGTGTCTGCCATTGATGCCGATAATATCGGCGTAGTGCAGTACAGAATTGACACTGGTAATAACTTGAACCTTTTTGAATTGGATTCCAGCTCTGGGTTGCTGACACTTAAAAAATCACTGAGGGATGGTGATGCGGCGAAACACTCTTTCCACCACCTGCAAATAACTGCTAGCAATGGAGGAATATCAAGTACTTCTATGTTCTTAAATCTAACAGTTGTTAATGCTTTCAAACATGTCCACTCCAAATGTGCACAGACTGGTGTTCTGAGAACTTTAGCAGGGCTGCAGCTTTTTGGCTCTAAACTACACAGACAGAAAGAAGCAGAGGATGAATTCGCAGACATCCATTCTGTTAATCGCCACGCTCCGCAGTTTATAGAGTCCACTCCAAATATGATAGAAGTTAAAGAGGACCTTCCTGTAGGGACAAGTGTAGCACTCCTCAGAGCTGTCGATTCAGACTCTGGTTTCAATGGGAAATTGCTTTTTGTGATCTCAGGGGGAGATTTTGATAGCTGCTTCACAATGGAATCTGACACAGGGTGGCTTAAGGTTTTCCAGCAACTTGATAGAGAAACAACAGACAGCTACACTCTCAACATCACTGTTTATGATCTCGGCTTACCGCAGAAATCCTCATCTCATATATTAGATGTTAAAATTTTGGATGCCAATGACAACAGTCCAGAGTTCCTTCAGCAGGAGTATTCAGTGGATATAAGTGAGGACACTGCTATTGCAACAGACATCATTCAGCTTGAAGCGAAAGATAAAGATTTAGCGGTCAATGGAATGGTTAGGTACTCATTTCTTACTGAAACGGACAAATTTGTCATACATGAGGAAACAGGGATTGTAACTGTTAATGGGCTGTTAGACAGAGAGGCCAATCCATTATTTGTTTTAAGGGTGGCTGCTTTTGATGCAGCAATTGATGAGCCTAAAATGGTATCAACAGTGTTGTTACAGATTAATTTGAAGGATGTGAATGATAATGCCCCTACATTTATACCCCAACAATACCATATCAGAGTGAGAGAAGACATTCCAGTGGGCACCTTGGTACTCTGGCTTGAAACTCACGATCCTGACCTTGGCCTGTCTGGACAGGTGAGGTACAGTCTAACAGATGTGGAAGATGGATACTTTCAGGTGGATAAAATGACTGGAGCTGTGTACGTCTCTCAGACTCTTGATTTCGAAACAAGACAAGTATATAATCTGACAGCAAAGGCCAAAGACAGAGGCAAGCCGAACCCTTTATCCTCATCCTGCTTCATTCAAGTGGAGATCGTGGATGTTAATGAGAATATGTACCGCCCCTCTTTCCCATTCTTTGTGGACTGGGGTGCTGTGAGTGAAGATGTCCCAGTTGGCACCTCGGTTATGAAAGTTACAGCTTATGATGAGGACAGCGGCAGGGATGGAGAAGTTCGCTACTCCTTACGAGGTGGTTCAGGCCTTGGAGTGTTCACCATTGATGAACAGAGTGGTAAGCTAATTTGTATTCTTTTTTTGCCTTTTTAAAGGAAAGGAAAACTTGTTCTAGGTCATAATTAGTCAATTGGGTTTATAATTCAAAACAAACAAGTCATCAGTAAGTATTAAGGAATCCACAGACTGAATTTAAAGACAAACAAACACCATGTTGAATGAGCATATCATGAAGGCTTGTAAATACTTTTTCATGGTCATCTTTTTGTTCTTCTGTATTGAATGGTGAGAGATTGCTCCAAAAAAGTGCATGTGATTGAAGTTTTTAAGATATATTGTTCATTATTATGATTACAGTTTATGTGATGAACTACGTCTTCTGTGGTTACTCTGCAAGGACACTTTATTCACTTTTAAAACAATAAAGTTTCTTTATTGGCATCAATGATTCCATGAGGAACTTTTAACATCCATGGAACCTTTCCATTGCACAAAAAGTTCTTTATAGAGGAAAAGGGGTTATTTCAATTATTAAAATGTTCTTCGTGCCTATAAAAAAAGTGTCCGATACACTTTGGGTCTACGCTATGCATTTTTAACAAACAACAATGATTAAATTGTGTTATTTGTACAATAGTGCTATCTAAAGACGTGAGAGAGACCAAATGAAAAAGAGAGGTAATAAAAGGGAGAAACAAAGAGCGATGTGCTGGGCACTTTCACCCTGAGGAAAGAGCTTATCAAGTTTTACTGAGTTGTTAAAGCCACACCTCTACCTTTAGAAAAAAGCCCACAGCCTGAAAGCAGACACTGCAGAGAGACAGGCAACCAAAAAGAGCTGCCTCATCTCCCCTTACCCTTTTATTCACTCAATATTTTATGTACAATGTCTGCCCAGTACACATTTAATCTTTTAATGCAAATGTCTGCGTTATGAATTCTCAGTTCCCTGATAGATAATAGATTCATTCTTTGCTTCTACTGTATGTCGATGACATTTTTCATTTAAAAAGAATATTATTAGCAATGTGTAAGACGTTCCTACTTTGTATGGTTATGTATGGTGGCTTCATCCTTATCAAGACTTATAATTTGCAATGCAAAACTCCCAGTGCCATGTGACAAGATTTTATGACAGCACCGTTGGTCTCAGTCTAAATGTTTAAAGTGCTTCATGTAGTGCAACATGTTCCTTCTTTTCTTTGTTACAGGCATTATAAGGACACAAGAAACTCTTGATCGTGAGACTACTAATCATTACTGGCTTACAGTCTATGCCACAGACCAAGGAATTGTGCCACTTTCCTCATTTGTGGAGGTTTACATCAAGGTTCAAGATGTCAATGACAATGCTCCACTGACAACAGAGCCTGTGTACTATCCTTCTGTATCTGAGAACTCTCCCAAAGACGTCTCTGTCATCCAGATCCAAGCATTTGACCTGGACTCGGAATCAAGTGATAATCTCTCATATAAAATAACCAGTGGAAATCCACAGGGATTTTTTGCCATTAACTCCCAGACAGGTAAATCGATGTCTCTCAAAACTGCTAAATCCCAGCATGTGGATTTGTGTTTTAAACATCTATTTGACATATTTTTAACATTTATTTCAGTGATAGCATTATTATGATGATGATTATAAAAAACTGGACTGTAGCAATGCCCTTCATATGCAACAAAGAGCACCCTAAACATTTAGTAAACACAATGTAAAACATTTTAGCCTGTACTTTAATATATGCACCAATTTACATTTGAGTGATGTCCTTACCTGTGAGGGAGAAAAATTATGAGCGTTAACATGTTAATGTTCACAAATTTAGGCTACATGGAAATAACACATTTTCTGAAAATAAAATAAGTATGACATGAAATATTTCCTTTAGTTTTTAAATATCATTGATATTCACACCAGCTGGTTAATTACATTCACTGAGCAGCACAAGTAATGAATGCAGCTAATTAATTTGATGCGCCAATTGATTTCTCCTCCACCAAATTACTTGCCACACTCAGTTAGCTCAGCTTAAGGTCTCAACCGTGCAAGAAAAAAAGTTTTTCAAAGGATTTTGCTGCCAAAGTCAATTGAACAAACTGAACTTAGTTGGTACATTGAGAACCAGGAACAGAGAACATAGTACACTAAACTATGACTCTTTTTTTCTCTTTTGCAAAAAAAAAAATATATATATACATGAAAGAATGCAACATAAAGGAAACAGTCTCTGATGAGAATACACAATGTAGGGTAGATTTATCTTATCTTATCTTTTTTTTTTTTTGCCTGGAGACACAGCTTGAATCTTTTAGTACTACTAAAAAGTTTTCTCAGTCAGACGAAGAAACACGGAAATTGACCATTTTTCATTTCTTGTACAGGGTTGGTGACAACCACATCGCGGAAACTGGACAGAGAAAAGCAAGCAGAGCATCTTCTTGAAGTAAGCTGCTGAACCCTGTAACTGATGATACTGCATTGTATTTACTTACACAGAAGTCAAAGATGAATTTTCATGATGTTTTTCTTCATACATGTCACAGTCTGTCTTGTCTCAACCTCTTCACTACACTTCCTAGCATCCCGCTCATCTACACACCTGCTTGTCATCATCTTCGCCTGTCTTTAGTCATTTGCTGCATCCCAATTCGCATACTATCCGTCCTAAATAGTATTCGAAAATAGAATTAGTACGTCCCAAATTGTTGTATGTTTATGGTCTACTATTTCTGGTCAAAATCCGAAGTGTAGATCGATGCACACTCTAACGGCTGATATTGCCCACAACCCATCGCACGTTGGACGAGGATTCGGTTAGAACTACAACACACGAGTAAAAAGTGTTAAGAAACTACAGACATGGAGGACGCGCGAGTCCCACTGTTATGAGGTTTAGATAAAGATGTTTGAGTCAATAAAGCTACGCTGTGTAACTCTTTTAGTTTATTCTTAGCTAAAAACACTTATATGATATATGTGTGCTCATTATGTGCTATGTGTGCAAAAATATATGTGCTCATTAATGTATATTTACATCGTTCAAGTAATAAAGTATTCTCGTGAGTGTATAATATGCCATTGAAAATAGATACGGGTAAGGGGTTCTAATGTCGGTCGGCATGTTGCCCCTCCATCTTGAAAGTACATTAGCCAAAGAGGGACATTTGAGCCCGTTAATTTGAGCTTCGCCTTTCGCGTTTACGTTTGAGTTAACACTCATGGACGAGGTCGAACTGGAAGCCATGTTAATCTTGCACTACATTGGCCACTGTAGGAGTTAAACGAAATCGGAATTGAGAGGAACAGAAACTAATATTCCATGGATGGTCATGTACCTTTTCACCGCTAGATGGGGGTAAAAATCACACAGTGTAGCTTTAATTATTAGTATCTAACCTAACGCAAATTAATTTATTCAATGTTGTCTACATTATATTGCATCTGGAGCAGCATTGTTTTGTAAAGATACGTTTAGCCATTACCTTTTCTTCACAAAAAGAGTACATACTTTTAGGGCATAGTATAAGTAAGTGAATTGGGACGCAGGGATTGTCATCGTCTGCGCCACCTGTTTCTGTTAATTAGTATTTAGTTCCTGCTTGTCTTCAGTTCAGTGTCTGTTCTTATGTTTATCACATTATTGTAAGTAAAAGCTGTCGTTTTGGACTTTTGCACTTCTCGTCGTCTTCCTTTGCCTACACAACCCGTGACAAAATAACAATAGTGACCATCAGTGTTGTGCAAGTTACTTCCAAACTGTAATACATTAGGTATTACTTGTTACTGTTATTTAAAAGTAATTCATTACCTTACAATATTACTGTCTCAGAATTGTAATGCGTTACATTACTCATGTATTACCTTTGAGTTACTTTCACCAAAATAACTAAGTAGAACTTAACTTTTGGGCTGTAACGATATGCAATATGAAACCGAAATCGCCATTCGCCACACGACTCAGATCCACGAACCTACAGAATCGCGACACACCTCTTCCAACTCCAGCGTTATTCTCCTTACCGTCCATATCCAATGCTGCCTTATCTTTAAATTAGGCTATTAGTATTATTTGAAGTTAACATTATAAAATACGTGGACCTACACCACAAAACTAGTTGAGGATAAATTATTTAAAATTGGGGAAGTCCAGCATTATGGACATGACATTTGCAGTCAGAAAATACATGTATTGAAACGTAGGCTACTTCCTTAAAGGACTCCAGACATTAGACAAATATCAGTCTATGTTTTATTTTTAATATTAGGGAAAAGACACACATTCATGCGTGACAAAAAAATAGAAGGCAAAATATATTTTTTGTAATTCTGTTAATTACACTGCGCAAATCGGATGAGGAAGGGTTGGCTCTCCAGTCTCCATAGAACTTAAAATATTCATTTTATTTTAGTTTTCGCGTTCGCATTTATGAGGAAAAAACAATGTTACAGACGCGACCGCTCTGAACTGGCACTAAAAGACTGCTTTAAAACTTTCACATAGTCTGTTGCCTTTAAGAAGTAAAAGCAGACAATACATTGTAATACAACAGTAATACAAGCCTCACTGAACATGTAACGAGTAAAATATTACTGACAATTGATTAGTAATGCCTTACACTACTGCGTTACAGCAAAACGTAATATGTTACTGTAATGTATTACTTTTGTAATGCGTTACTCCCAACACTGGTGACCATAGTGACCATATGTCCAGTTCCAAAAAGGACAAAAAAGTAATCCATGGACCATGGTTAGTCTGCTTCATGAATGAAATGTTCTTTTGAAACATTCTAATTTTGTATTTCAATTTAAAAATGACACCATATGGGTCATATAATGAATAAAATAATTTACATTTTTGGGTGAACTGTTCATGTTGAAAAGGTATTGAAGTTTACCTTTAAATACATTTTATGCCTCTCATGTTTGTTTTGGCAGTAGTTTCTCAAGCGCTCAGGCCAGAGATATGTTCTTTATTCTTAAACAGATCACTGTTTCGGATGATGGCAGTCCAACCAAGTCTACAACGGTTCTTGTGATAGTCAACGTATTAGATGAAAATGACAACAGTCCCCAGTTTCTGGAAAAGACCTTTAAAATCAAGCTGGTGGAACGACCAGAGGCAGTTGAATGGGAGCCAATTTATCGAGTGATTGCTTATGACAGAGATGAGAGTCCCTCCTCTGATATCTCATACATGATTGAGGAGGGTGAAGAGCACAGGAAATTCTTCATTGAGCACACAACTGGGTTTGTGTTCTCCAAAGAGGCTTTTTCAGCGGGGGAGTATCATATTCTCACAGTACGTTTATTTCAATTCCTAGACTCCAAATGGTGGCATACTTAATGGAGGTGTATTTGTGGATTCAGAATGAAAGGACACAAAATATTTTTGATCCAAGTGGATTTTGAATGCAGATAGAGAATGTTGTTAACTTTGATCATTAAATTAAGTAAATAATGCAGCAGAAATCACCCACTGACATACAGTTAACAAAAAAATACAGTATGCCCCATACAGTTACTATCCTTAAAAAATAGGCTCTTGATATGTCTATGTCAAAAAACAGGAGAAAACACTCACATTGCTGTCTTGCAGATTAAAGCATCAGACAATGGAAAGCCTTCAAAGTCATCCATCTGTCGGTTGCACATTGAGTGGATTCCAAAGCCTAAGCTGGCTAAACAACCGCTGGCGTTTGAGGAGATTCCGCTCTCATTCTCTGTGATGGAGAATGATCCAGTGGCCCATATGGTGGGAGTCATCAGCGCTCAGCCACTTGACTCTCCTGTATGGTTTACAATCAAAGGTAAAGATCTAAAGCTTTCCACCTATTCACCCTCATGAGATTCCAAACCCATATGACTCTCTTTCTTGAGTGAATCACAACAGGAGTTATATATACAAGTATGTTGTATTTCATGCAGTTACTATGTATTGGAGTTTCCAAGAGGACACAAATGCATCCTTAATGTTTCTATGAAAGTGTCCATTCGTGACTCATCCGATACATTTCAAGCCTACTGAAGTGATACGGTAGCTTTAAGTGAAGAACAGCCTACAATTTAAGTTGTTATTCACTGATAAACTTACTCTCAAATGGTCTGCTCCAAAAAGTCAGTGAGCTAAACCCCAGAATTGATGACTAATGATTTATTAATGGACATTGTAACTTCAACGTTTTTGAGTGATAGTTCACATAAAAATGCAATTTCTGTCATCTACTCACCCTAATGCGTTTTAAAACTTTATGACTTTTTTCGTCTTTGTCTTTGAACACAAAATAACATTTTGAAGAATGTCTCTATTTTTGTCCAGTGTTGTTTGTTTTTCAACGTTCTTACAAATATCTCACACAGGGGGTGAGTAAAAGATGACAAAATTCATTTGAGTTTTAGTTTCATTTAAACTTTAATCTAATCCCCACAAAACGTCTTCGCATAGCTTTAGAAGACAAGCCACGCATCACTTTTATAATACCTTTATGGTGCTTTTTGAAGTTTGAAAGCCTCAGTTCCCATTCAATGTAATTGCATGGGGAAAAACATCATTACAAATCTCCATTTATGTTTGGAAGAATGATTAGAAGAACTAGATGAGGGTGAATAAATGGTGACAGAATAGTACATTCTATTTAATCTCTAGTCATTCTTGATGCTTCAGCTCTTTAAAGTTCGATGTTCAGACAATCTTTATAACCCAACCATGATTTGGGCCTTGTCAGCTTTCAACAATTTTTCCCCCTCTGTCGCTACCTTGTCTGGCTCATCTGCTTTTTTTTCTTCTTCTTGTTTCTCTACTCTCGCTTCACAAGGAGTCACACATGTTAAAGAAGTTTTTCACATTCTACAGATGGCTTGTGACCTGAACTGTACAGGAGGTATCTGCTGATAAATTTAAATATGTTTTATCTTCTCACAGCTCTTGCATTATTTCCTTTTACATCTACCAGAAAGAATTCTGAATTCATATTCTGTGGAAAAATTCCACCTGTTTGTTAACGGCATGAATATGTGGCTGCTGTCTGTTTTGGTACTTAAAGGTGGAAACACTGCCAACCACTTTGATGTGGAGAAGGCGACTGGCACAATCATCATCGCTGGAGCTCTAGATGCTGAATGGCAGTCAAATTACAACCTTACTGTTGAGGCAACAGATGGAACAAGATCCATCAGCACTCAGGTGTTTTGTCTTTAATGGCACTTATCAAGAAATTGCCCATGCATTTGTAAAATAGGATCAGTTGAATAGTGGATGGAGAGATAAGAACAATGATGCACATCTTTGCTTTGACAAATTGTGTACGCGTGGATCTGTATTCTGACAGGATAATTATTGTGTTGCTTAGTATTATCTATACATTTCGCCACTGCTCAAATTGCAAAGAGTTTAAAATGAAAAAGATTACACGTCACACAATGAACACCAGGTTTAAATTTGTCACCAAGCAAACATATCATTTTGCTTTTTTCTAAATGCTTGATATTTTAATCTTTTTGATCACGTGTAAAAGTATAACTTTCACTAATTTATCTTGCTACACATGATATTCCTTATAGAACGATCAGGTTTAAGCTTAATAGAAAATATTAAATTCCATGTAAAAAAGAAAAGGATAACCCAAGTAGCTGGAATGTTCCCTGGCACCTGCATTCTGTGATACTATTGGGCGCACTTAGCTGAAGTCAGGCTCACTGCTGTCTTTCTAATGTATAAGTTGCCACTGTCCTTTTGTCATGGGGTGAACATACCTTTCCTTGGGCGATACCTGCATGTATCAGCCAAGCCAGCCTGCCTTATCAGGTCACATTGTGAGACTCATCCATCAGTGTGAGCAGACCCAGAGGCAAAGAATGATGTGAGAGGGAGTAACGTTTTAAAAGAGAGCTCTGTTTCAGCCCTCAGTCCATCTCTCCTGTTGCAGAGAGCATTGCCCAGGAGATTGCACTCTACAGTTTGTCATCCTATAATGGCCAGTTTCAGGGTCTGTGTCAATTAAATATTTTAATAAATGTGCGTCTAAGGTAAAATAATACGTACTAAGTGTCCTTATGTTATTGTTGCTTGAGTAAACAATACATCTTTCAAAAATCTGTAAATCTAAATATGATTAACTGTGGATTTTGGACATAATATGCAATGATTTTGACTGGAAGAACTTTTTTTTACTTCATTAAAGCAGCTGAATTTTTACCTTTGTTTTACCTTATTGTTAATATAAATAATCATATACTTAAAATAAGTTATATAATAATAATAATGATATTACAAATATTTAACAAATACATCAAAATATTTACTGTGTGGATTGTGCTTTGTTAAACAGGTCATAATTCAAGTTCTCGACGCAAATGAACATCGCCCCCAGTTTGGCCAAAACCAATATGAGATAAGTATTCCAGAGGAAACCCAGCCTGGTATGAAGATACTGGAAATTAATGCAACAGATAAAGATGAGAAGAACACATTATCCTACACACTGTTGAGCAGCACAGACTTATTTAGCCTGAAGAAGTTTAGTCTTAATCCTGGAACAGGCTTTCTGTACACTGCTGAAAAACTGGACCATGAAACCATGCACAGACATATCCTCACAGTAATGGTAAGGCCATGTATAAACTTATTTTGTCAACTATTAGGATAAAAAACGCACTGCGTTTAACAGCTGATTGTTGTTAATATATATTATTCCAGGTTAGGGATCAAAGTGTGCCAGTGAAGAGTAATGTTGTGAGAGTGATCATCAACGTGGAGGACAGTAATGACAATGTACCATGGTTCACCAGCTCTCAGTACGCCGCCCGTGTCTTTGAAACAGCTGCGATTGGTTCATCAGTATTACAGGTCACTGCTCTGGACAAAGACAAAGGCCTCAATGCTGATATCCTCTACAACATAGATTCAGGTACAGCTTATCTCTACTAACACTGTCAAATCATTGGAAACGTTTTATTGTTAATGGAAAACGACCCAAATGTTATTAACTATTATTCATTTCTGTACATCCTATATATAAAACAGTATATACCAGTGGCGAGTGGTGACTTCTTTAATTGGGTATGCTGGATGGTGCATCACATCAAATAAAAGTGCCCGTTGTAGATATGTTGAATGGATTTATAATAAGCGAGACGATTGCTTTGCTCTCATGACACATAGCAACACAGCTAAAATTATTCCTAATATGTTGGACCTTTATTGAAAGTAGCCTACATTTACCTGTTTGAGTTTGAGGGAGGCGTGACACACTAAAGAGTTGCTTGCAAAATAAGTTGTATTTTTGTTATTCCATTGGTGCTACTAGTATCGCAGAAACTACATACTTCAACTTTAAACAGTACAGCGCATTGAGTTAAAGACCAGAGGTGGAAAGTAACAAATTACATTTACTCGCATTACTGTAATTGAGTATATTTTTTTTTTGTGTATACTTCTACTTTAAGTAGTTTTTAAAATCTGTAATTTTACATTTACTTACGTATGTTTTGTTTGAAGTATTGTGATTCCCTACATTTATCATATCCATTACAGAGTAAAAAAAAAAATACTAAAAAACTAGAAAACATTGGACTCTGGAAACTACAGAATTGATTGATTAAGGTGTGGGAGAACACATGTTCTAAAATCACGAACAAATTCCCCAAACTTAAAATATTGTTCCCTTATACTTATATTGTAAGTATGTTATAGGTACACTATAATTACCGAAGGTTCGCTGTAAAATTGCTTTAATTACACAGTACTTTCCGGGCTGTAATCTAAAGCATTACCTAAAAAATTATTGAAGTAATAGTACTTTTACTTGAGTAAAATATTTTAGGACTCTTTCCACCTCTAAAGACTAAGATCTTAATCAGAGATGACCGAGAAACAGCATTTTTACAGTCGAGCACTTCACAGATAGCATCCCTGTGCATGAAATCTCTATTTGCCAGCAAACCACTGAGAACGCAGGACAACGATGACCCTCGATAACTGGCAGATTTGAAGAAATGTTTAGTTTTTGCAAAAAAAATAAATGACAGACAGTTACATACGTATTACCACATTTTTATCATGTAAGCTTTATGGTTTATCTCAAACAAGGGAATTTATAGTAATTTATAGTGTTATGAATTAGCTAGTCCATGAATGGCTTGGGTATGCAGAGCATTCACAGATTATATGGACTGCACGTTCCTGTTATATACTTACATAAATAATACTACAAATAATGCATTTTTTTCAGATGTAATTGCTCTATTTTTAATTAACTTAATATTTTATTCTCTGTAGGAAATCATGGAAATTCCTTCAACATTGATCAGTCTTCAGGCATTGTAACAGTTGCAAGGGAACTTAATCGTAAATACAGAGACCAATATGAATTGTTAATAAACGCATCTGATAAAGGAGAACCTCCTCTCAGTGTGGTTACAAGCGTCCAGGTCACAGTCACCATCTCGGATAATACCAAGCCGACATTCCCCTTCAATTCAATATTGGTGGAAGTCAGTGAATCTGTCCCTGTTGGAAGTTTTGTAACTTTAGTCTCTGCTTTAAGTCAATCAACCATATTTTATCAGATCAAAGAGGGAAATGTGAACAGTGTGTTTGACATCAATCCAAACTCTGGCGCTATCACCACAAGGAAAAAACTGGACTTTGAAACCCTTTCATCATATAAACTGATTGTGCAAGGTTCGGACATGGCTGAAATGTCGAGCAGTGTCACAGTAAACATTCATCTAAAAAATGAAAATGACAACAATCCTGTTTTCACTCAGCCTGAGTTTACTGGCTTCATCAGTGAGTCGGCTATTGTCGGAAGTCTGGCTCTGACCTCTCAGAACGTTCCACTTGTTGTTTGTGCAACAGATGCTGATCAGCAGTCAAATGCCAGGCTTGTCTATGAGATTATGGAATCATTCGCTCGTGACTATTTTTCTATCATTTCTGGGACTGGAGCTATTCAAACTCTCAGAAACCTGGATTATGAGCAGAGAAAAGTGTTTAACTTTACAGTTCAGGTCCATGACACTGGGATGCCTCGTTTGTTTGCTCGAAACACTGCCAACGTGACTATACATGTCATTAACATCAATGATTGTGCTCCAAAATTCACTCAGGATTCATATGAGACAACGCTCCTCCTTCCAACCTACAAAGGGGTTAAAGTGATAACAGTAAAGGCTACCGACGAGGACTCACTGCCAGACACCAAACTACGCTTTGAACTTGTAGACGGAAACATAGGGAACAAATTCCTGCTTGATCCAACCTCAGGTGATATTTTTGTGCAAAATGCTACACAGTTGCGGAGCAGATACAGACTGACAATCCGGGTTTTTGATGGAAGTTTTACTGGCACTGCAACTGTGAAACTCAATGTTAAAGATAATAAAGGTCAAAATCTTAAGTTCACTCAGGAAATTTTCACCACCTATGTGCAAGAAAGCTCAACGGAGAAGAAGACCCTGGCAGTCCTCTCTGTAGTTGGAAATAGAGTCAACGAGCCTTTGTTTTATTCTATTCTCAACCCTAACAGTAAATTTGAAATAGGACGCACATCTGGAGTGCTTTTCTCCACAGGCATCCCATTTGACCGCGAAGAACAAGATTTGTTTGAAATCTTTGTGGAGGTTACTAAAGAGTCAAGGGCGAACGGAACCGCCCATGTGCTTGTGCGAGTGCATATTGAGGATGTGAATGATAATGCTCCTGTCTTTATAGATCAGCCCAACAGCGCTGTTGTTCAGATTGACAAAACCGTGGGTTCGGTTTTCGGAAAGGTGACCACCGTGGACAAAGATATTGGCAGAAATGCTGAGGTTACATACTATTTGAAAAAGCATGATAAATATTTTCAAGTAAGCCCGTCAGGAGAAATATCTCTTAGGAGACCTCTAGAGCTTGAAAATGTTGGCAAGTTCGTCATTAACATAATTGCGCAAGACAGAGGCACCCCACCACTGTTCTCAGAAGCAGAAGTGATTATTTCAGTGGTAAACAAAGCCACACCAGTGTTCGAAAGACCTTTTTACAAGATTGTAATCCCTGAGAATGTGCAAGTTCGTACTTCTATACTCCAAGTTGTGGCCAATCAATCGGCAGGACATTGTGCAGTCTACAGCATCAGTGAAGGCAATCCATTCAATCAGTTCAACATTAATTTCAATTCTGGACTCATTGAAGTCATCCGGCCATTGGATTATGAGGCTCACCCCGCATATCGGTTGAGTGTCCAGGCGACAGACTGTCTAACCGGTGCCAACTCTGATGTTTTTGTAGATATCATATTGGAAGACGTCAATGACAACATACCCAAATTCGATGCGGCAGTGTATAATATTAGCATCTCTGAATCTGTTGTAATTGGATCCTCTGTGTTACAAGTTGTCGCCATGGACTCTGACACAGGAAGCAATGCAGAATTGTTTTATCAGTTGTATGAAAAGGATGGAGCCACCTCAGATCACTTCAGAATAGATGTTGAGAGTGGAGTCATTTGGACCGCAAGACTATTAGACCATGAAACGCAATTGCAGCATGAACTGATTGTAAAAGCTGTTGATGGTGGAGCATTTCAGCTGTCTGCTGAGGTCCAAGTGATTATATTTGTAACTGATCTTAATGACAACCCACCTATTTTTGCACAGCAGCTTTATAATGCCACCATTAGTGAGATTTCTTCTCCAGGGAAGCTTGTGACCTGTGTTAAAGCATATGATGCTGACAGCCGTGGAACCAGACAGCTGGAGTATGCTATTTTGTCTGGAAATGACGACAATATATTTGCAATTGATGCGTCAAGTGGAGAAATTGTGATTGCCAACATCAGCCGGCAGTCTCTTGAGCCCTTCTACAGCTTAATTTTGTCAGTAACTGATGGTGTTTTCAGAAGTACTGCTGAGGTAAACATCTATGTGATGGCTGAGAATAGACAAAGCCCGTCATTTACCCAAGATGAGTATCTTATTGAGCTCCCTGAGAACTCTCCAGTTGGTACGTTGGTTGGACAAGTTGAAGCCATTGATGATGACCCAGGGATATATGGTCAATTGACATTCCTCATTGTAAATGATATCGCCAGGGATAAATTTACCATCAAGGATGATGGCTGGATTCACACAGTAGAGGGTTTTGACAGAGAAAACCCAGAAGAGAAAGCTATTAGCATCAGTTTAATGGTTAAAGATGGCGGTGGGCGATTAGGCTTTTGTACCGTGATTGTAATTCTCTCTGACGTGAATGACAATTTACCCAAATTCAGGCTCTTGGAATATAAAGTTACTGTGCCAGGAGATACTCCCAGTGGTACAACTGTGATCAAAACATCTGCAGTAGATGAAGATGAGGGAAGTAATGCTGATATAATTTACACTGCTGACTCTGATTTAGGGCACTTCGAAATTCATCCACTTAGTGGTGCAATTGTCACAAAAGAAAGTCTAATTGGACTGGAAACTGGCCTGTATTCCTTCTTTGTGAAGGCTAAAGATTCTGGAAACCCACCAATGCAATCTATTACTCCTGTTTCAATTAGAATAGTTCCACCTGAAACATCAATCCCAAAGTTTGCCGAGCCGTCAATGTGGTTGGAGCTTTTAGAAGACCTGGCTGTCGGAACTGAGATGGATATCTTCCAAGGCCAGAATGAGCGGTCTGTGATCTACAGCCTTGTTAGAGGGAACACCCCAGAGAGTAACAAAGATGATGTCTTTGCTATTGACAGCAGGACTGGAAAGCTTGCACTCACAAAAAGATTGGACTATGAAACTACCAAATGGTATCAGCTTACAGTGCAGGTCCAAGACGTTGAAGATGGCATGGAAATGGTCTCAACTATAGATTTGAGTATCCATCTCAAAGATGTCAATGATAACAGCCCACAATTTGAGTCCTTCCCCTACCAGTCATTTATTGTTGAAAACCTTCCAGAAGGGACTTCTGTGGTGCAGGTTAAGGCCACTGATCTTGATTCTTGGGTGAATGGTCAGGTTACTTATACTCTGCATGAAATCCAGGAGCACCCTGATGTTCTGAGGATGTTTGCTGTGGACAGTGAGACAGGCTGGATGACCACCCTCACAGAGATAGACAGAGAAAAGGCAGACCGATATCGAATCACAGTGATGGCCATTGACAGAGCTCAAGGGCAACGGATGACAGGCACTACTGTTGTAGAAGTGACAGTTGTGGACCTAAACGACAACCCTCCATTTTTTGCTGAAGCCGTTTTTAAAGGTAGTGTGCGAGAAGATGAATCCACACCAGGCACAGTTATCACCATTCTCAACTATGCTGATTCTGACAGTGAGGAGGTCAACAGGAAGTTCAGCTGTTTTATCACAGGTACACTGTCCATGCTACCAAGTAAAATTAGTGAGAATAATGAGAATTAAAATAACCATGAATTTCATTATTTACTTACTTACATGCCCTGTAATTTTTTTTCAGACTGCTCTTCTCTATACAATGAAATCAAATGGTACATTATATTTCAGCTAATAAGTGATAAGTCCTTTAAAGCAACACTGCTTAAATGTTAGGATATCTATTTCATTTAAGATCCACACTGTGTGTTACATATTGTTCATAATATTATAAAGGTAAATGTCAATTATTGTAAACGTAAAATTTTCAGTCCTGTTTATTTTATTCAGATTTATTTGTAAAGATTTTCACAATACAAAATAAGTTGTATTAATAATAAGTAATGTTAAAAAATACATTCAAATATTTAATAAATCTTTTGTTAACACCTAAACTTAAAAATTAAAATTAAAAAAAAAAACATGGTGTAAAATATCAGTTCATTTTATTTTATTCAAATTTAATTTATAGTGATTTTCACAATACTTATCATTCCAAAGTAATGTTAAAAAAATGCATTAACTTTATTAATATATATTTTATGTTGACACCTAAACTTTTATAATTCCAAAAATTCATGGTGTAAATGTTCTTTCTTTTATGTTTTCCATCTTGGTCCCCTAAAATTCCCTTGCTGCCCCTGGAACCAGTTTGAAAACCCTTAGTTTAAAGCCATGCGATAGCTTTATGTGAGAAAATCTTTAGGTGAACTATCCCTTTAAAGAAACTGGTATTGGCATTCAACATGATAATTTCGTGAGGTGTTTATTAACCTTTGAAGGAAATTACAGAACTAATGTCACTAGCTCAATTGCTGAATGTTATGAATAATCTATGATATGTATATGAGTGTTCTGTATTATACTGACGCTGATTAGAGATATTCAGAGCATCTTGTTATTGTCCTCAGTTTTATTACACCGCCTGATTAGTATCTTGTATGCAGCAAGAAATACAATGAAAATCCCCAAGATGTTTAGAATGATGCTAAATGCATGATGATTTGGTTGCTAATCGCCTTATTAAATATTTCTGATAAGACCAAAGTTAATTTTTCCTTGTTTAATGTATTCAGGTGGGGACCCGCAGGGCCTGTTTGATGTGAAGCACACAGATGGTGTTTGGGTGGTCACTGTCAGCAAAACCCTGGACAGGGAGGAGAGAGATTTCTATCTTTTAAACATCACAGCCACTGATGGAACCTTTGTGACAAAGGCTACCGTAGAGATCACTGTTCTTGATGCAAATGACAACAGTCCTGTTTGTGAAAAGGCATGGTGTATATTCCTTAGCCCCTGAGCTCTTTATTCTGGATTGTGCAGAGAACTTTCAATGAATATGCACATTTTTCACAGATAATTTTTTTAGATAACCATTTCTTCAGTCAGTTTAAAATTAAATCCACTTTTGTTCTCAGGATGTGTATGCACAAACTGTTCCTGAAGATGCACTAGTTGGAAGACAAATTCTTCAAGTCTCAGCCACTGATGCAGATATCCAATCAAATGCGGAAATCACTTACAAGTTGAGTGGCAGCGGAGCCGAATCATTCACAGTTGACACCAAAACGGGTAAAATGAAATTTTATCTAAAGCCAGGGGTTAAGTGTCTTATTCAAGGACATGATGGCATAGCTCATTAATCAATACCTTCCAGGTTCAAGCCCACAACCTCTTGATTATCAGTCCTGATCGATATTGACTTTATAAAGCGCTCAGTGTTCAATGTGAATACCGATTTCTGCAATACATATTGTTCCAAAGCCGCTTTACATAAAATAACCCCTCAAAACTTTAAGTGAACAAGCCAAGCATGACAAAAATAAGGAAAAAAACTCTAAGAGGTAAGCAGAAGAAAACATTGGCATGGTGATGATTACATGGTGGTGTGTGACTAATGCACAATGGCTATTCATCAAGGAGCTGCATGTTCGAGGAGCTTGCTTTTATCATTTTTTTTATTCTACTTTTTGAAATTGATATAATTATATATCAAAATAGTTATTAGGTCTAGCAAAGAAGGATTTTATCTTACAAAGCTATGAAATCCAGTCGTAAAATCACAGCTTTAAAGATAAAAAAGGGGGAAGAAAGGATAACAGTGTCCGTCGGCCACCACCGAAGACCAATTTTGACCCAGGAAAAACAAGAATTTTGACCCCTCAGCAAACAAGAGATTGCGCCTTTTGAAAGTTAACTAGTCAGTAAAATGCAGTTGGGTTGTCGAGGTCAAAACACTATACAAGCTGTAAATCAAACGCACTTAATATAAATAATGTATTTTTTCTTCTAGGTGTAGTGAAAACACTGGTAACCCTGGACAGAGAGATGACAGATGTGTACAACCTAACTGTGCATGCAGTGGATGGAGGCAATCGCTTCTGCCAAGCTTCTGTGGTCATCACTGTTGATGACGTCAATGACAATCCCCCCAAATTCACATCGGACTCACATCATGTGAGCATTTTTCAGAATACACAACCTGGGACGTATGTGGCACGACTAGAAGCGTTTGATGCAGATATTGGTATGAACAACTGTTCTATTATTTGGTAACCTTGTTTTTTGCAAATTCCCTCATACAAAAATGAAGAAAGATTTGTTAGATTGTAGTTAGATGTACAGTCGTTGGATCCAGCAATGTAATCTGATTGGAGCAGTAGTTGAATCAGTAGTTATTAGTCTGTGCCATCTTTCATTCTGTGTGGCATTTCATCACTCCTGTCTTCACTCAGCATGTAGCCTTCCCTGACGTTGGAACAAATTAATATAATCTTCTCTTGCACAATAGTCTTAGCTCCATGCGAAGGTAACAATTACTTTCTCGCAATAGTCCACACTCTAATTTTGTATAGATAATCTTAACTCTTCTGCCTACATTTTTTTTTTCACATTGCCTGTTGCTTGCTTAACATTTCAATCATCACTCCATTATCTGCCGCATGATTACTCTTCGAAGGTTCTGGCCACTTGGAGGCCTGTCTGTCTTGCAAACATTATTGTTGCCACTAACTAAAGTAAACAACTTGCCAGGTAGGATTTCTTGTAATTAGCGTTTCTTTCATGACTTAACATCATCAAGATGTGTTTGCGAGTATTTGCTGATTGGAGACGAGATTGTGAAGTGATTAATTTCAATTCATTCAGATGTCATCGTAGGATTTTCATAGGCGTTAATTAGTCAGAGGCAATTACGCTGGACGACCAGGCGACACCAACAGCAAGGCCTGCTCTCATTGCACTAATGAGCATATGAACAAGTATGTTTTGTATATAAACTGCAAATTAACCCAACAAGAAGCAATTAGATCATATTTATGCCACCCTGTCTCACTATGTCATGGAGAGATTAGATTAGAGGGACAGACTAATTTTGGCATCACTTGGGATTCATTGCAAGCCCAGCCGCTCTCCTCAGAATATTATTATTTCAACTCATGATTTAATGATATAATGACATTCTTCTGCCCACTTCTACTCAACTTTTAATTACAAAGACCCCAAATCACAGCTCAAAGCCAGTGCCAGATTTATGCATCGGCATTTTTAGGCATGGGGCCCAAAACATTATTTTGCACAATAAGAGGTTAATTCATACCTGCTCAAAGCCAAGGTTTTTAAACTTTAAGGGTGCCTGAAAGTACATGTACTCAGGTCCTTGGAGATAGACCACTTATACGGTTCATTTTAATGACACTTTTACATATTAAATACTTTTTTTCCAAAAAATTTCAACCAATGATTTTGTCAACTCTCTTTCTTGTGGAGTAAAGAATATTGTAGAAAGAAGCACTGTAAAAAAAAAAAAATATACATTTTTCTGTCAACTCAGCATCTATACTCCGCAATCGATATCGATTGCGATAGCCTTGCCTTCGGAGAATCAAATTTGGTTCCCCGAGCTGACGCGGCTGTCACTTACAGCCCCGTGGCCTGTTCTGGTGAGACAGATCTCCTCTCTCAAGCTCGCAGCATGATCTGGCATCCCTATTCAGAGCGCTGGTCTCTGCACGCATGGTTGGTTGAACAACGGATATCTGTTGTCCTGCCAGACGGAGTGATCAACATGATTACGTAATCTAGAGCTCCCTCTACGAAAGCTCTACGCATCTAAATGGTCTGCGTTCTCCAAATGTTGCACCAACAGACGACAGAACCAACAGACATGTGGAGTTTCGCGTCCTTCAAAAGCTGTTGGACAAGGGCAGGTCCCCCTCCACGCTCAAAGTGTACGTGACAGCCATTGCAGCGTTCGCAGAGTCGATGCGCAGCCAGTAAATAGGAAGAAACGAGCTGGTCATCCGTTTCCTTAGAGGAGCTAGAAGGATGAACCCTCTGCGGTCCCCGTCGATTCCTATCTCGGATCTTTCATTGGTGTTAGAGGCCCTTAAAACATATCCCTTTGAACCATTAGATTCTGTGTATCTGAAATACCTCTCGCTCAAAACCGTTTTTCTGACAGCACTGTCATCAGTCAAACGTGCGCAGGATTACACACACTCTCTGTCAGCGGTGCGTGTCTCGAGTTTGAGCCAAATGACTCTAAAGTCATCCTCAAACCTTGACATGGATATGTCCCGAAGGTGATTGGCCGAAGTTCATTTCGCTATCGGCTCTGCCAGCATCCAATAGCGATACTAACCTCCTCTGCCCTGTCAAAGCGCTGTTTACATTGCTCGCTCCGCCCCTTTCAGGCGCTTGGAACAACTTTTTGTTTCATTTAGTGGGCGCACCAAGGGTCTCGCCGCCTCGAAAAAGAAGCCTGTCCAGATGGATAGTGGATGCTATTGCTGCTGCTGCGATGATAAAGGTAACCGAATGTATCGGTTACCTAACGTAACCTCAGTTCAGAAAAGAGAAAGAGTATTGCGTAACCTGCCGTGCCCGTGCTCACACTGTATTATAGACAGCCCACTTACATTTAACTCCTATTCATGTGGCATTTCATCAGAGCTACCAGTTTTTTACTGTAAATTTAACAAGATATCTTTTTACAGTGAGTGGTTTGAGAGGGTGGGTTCAAACCTTGCTTCCTGCGAACTGACATGTCTTATACAGCCCACTATGCCACAGCTCTGGAATATTAAATTTAATAGCTAGCAGCATATTGTTTACTGATAAAGAATTAAACTCTGCAACCCCCATTGATTATGGAGTCAATGGATTGCAAGTTTTTTTGTTCCCAGTCCCTTGATGCTACAAATCTAATACAGGCTGTTAGAAATCTATTGGAGACCTCCAAAACTGACATTTCCTAATACTCTTTCCCTTTTCTTTATCTCCAGGGATGAATGGAAAAATACGTTACGTGTTTGAAGACTCTGCCGGAGGTCTGTTTTCAATTGAGGAGAGCTCAGGAATTATCAGTTTAGAAAGGTCCCTGGACAGACAGATGAAGGCCATGCATGTGCTGAGGGTACGTGCTACAGACCAGGGCTCACCCCATAGACTCTCCTCTCTCAGTTTTGTAGAGGTGACTGTGCTAGACGCTAATGACCATCCACCAGTGTTTGAGCGCAAGGACTACGTTTCCACAGTTCCTGAAGATGTTACGGTAGGGACTAAGCTTCTGAATGTCTTTGCTGCAAGTAGTGACAGGGAAATTACTTCCCAGACAACGTACTCTATCACCAGCGGCAACGATCAAGGAGCTTTCCGAATTGATTCACGAACAGGTGACACACAGTTTCCCCTCTTACAGTGTGACTTAAAGAGGACTCCATTGTGGATTTGGGGATCACTTATTGAATTGTGTTCGCAGGTGATATCTTTGTGATGGAGCAGCTGGACTATGAGGTGTCTCCACAGCACTTCCTGACAGTGAAGGCCACCTCCAGAGGGAAACAGTCACTCAGGGACACAGCTACTGTAACCATTCACCTTCTTGACATTAATGACAACAGCCCTGTGTTCAGCCAGAAGGTCTACTCGGCTGTAGTTAGTGAGGACACCAGACTCGGGAGCAAAGTGCTCAAGGTAGGCTTTTAGCATATGTTTGCACAAGATCACCACTGTAAGTGGTCCATGGTGTAGTCATGTTTTAAATTTTATGTTTTAGGTTCACTTTCAGAGCTGCTTAGGTTTTGCTTAGGTTAATGCTGTCACAGCATTTTATCTCAGTGTTCATATTTTTGGTTATGTTTGCACTTTGTATTGTCACTTAAATAGCAAGTTATCCTCCTGTATTGTTATCATAGTTTTGAAATATTCGTATGTTGCGTGGACTTCGATTTGGATTTTGGGGAACGTGTACGGGCATCAGGCGCGTTTGACGCCCTCGCTGTTAGCACTACATGAATTAGATATATAGTGTGGAAATAATCATTGATACAGAATTATAAATATATGTATTTTATCATATTGCTTTTATCAAGGCCCTATAACCTTGTTGATTATATTTCGACCAGTATTGTAGACCTGTTATTTGTAATTAAGTTTATTCATATTCTGTATATTGTTTGTTGCAAAACCACATACATGGTCACATGCCTGACCTTTGCACAATAAAGCATCTACAAGAACCCCCTGATGTGAGACATACTGTTCTAACCAGACAACCTGTAGCTGTTCAATTAATCCAAACCAGAAAGTATAAAAGAGTGGTTAGCAGTTTTTACACCAGCATGGCCTATAAATCACCTCAAACACCCTAGCAAACATTTAGAAGTGCATAACCACATGAAAAACTCTGAACACCCTGGAATTGTGCCAGCAAGTTTTGTGCGAGCAGTATGTACATCAGTCTAATTAAAATGATGAAACAGTATTGTCATTGTGTTGCTAAATCAGTATAGAAAGATGTGGCATATAGTTTACGTGAGATAAACAGATTTTCATCAAGTGTAATGATCCTTTTCCTTAGGTACTGGCGAATGATATTGATGGGCATTTAAACAACCGAATCCACTATTCCATTGAGGACAAAAACCAAACGTGTCCATTCATCATGGATGCAGTCAGTGGTGAACTTCAACTTGTCCATCAGTTGGACAGGGAAAAGGTAATGCTTTGGAAAGTTGGGCTTTGAAATGATCTTCACAAGTCTTAATAACAGTGTTTCTAATTCCTTAGCGAAAGCCATATCTTTTTCACCTTTTTATTCTCCTTTAAATTAGGTAGCGAGTTACTCGCTGACCGTGCTGGCCTCCGACAGTGGAAATCCCCCCAAATCCGACAGCGCTGTAATCAACATAGCTGTATCTGATGTGAATGATAATCCACCTGTCTTCTCTCAGGCTAACTATAGTCTCATCATCCAGGCAAGACCACACTCTCCTATAGAGCAGGGCACATTAAATCCAATGCACTTTTTTTTTACTCGATGCCTGAGTTCTCAGTGAGAGGTGGTGGTGTAATTTCTCAGGTCTGTTGGAATGATCCTGTGAATCTTTTTCTCTTCGACAGGAGAATCTCCCTTCAGGGACCAGTGTGTTACGGCTCAATGTGACAGACAATGATTACCCCCAAAATGGGCCTCCTTTCTCCTTTAGTATTGTGAAGGGTGATGAGACAAACCCCTTCAGCATAGACCAGATGGGTGTGATAAGGACAGCTGGACCACTGAGAAAGGGCCAACACATACTCCATGTGCAGGTGAGAACTGAGCTTTGTCCATTTTTTCCCTTTCGAAGGAACTCGCACTCCCACTTGGATTTGTGCCCCGACAGAGTTAAGGCCATCCTGCATCCGAGACCCAGCTATATGTGCCTTAAGTGCAATTTAACATGGCTAGGTCCATTGTCCTGCAAGTATTTGATCCTCCACCTCATGTGTCGGCAGTTAGAGTTCCGAGTATTTACATTGAGAGGTAATCTTCTTGGAGGAGGTCGGACCTACTGTAGTATGTTTTGGGTCACCTGTTAGGGGCTCCTGGCTATAAAAACCATAAGTAGGCCTACAAGGTGCGCATATTGCCTTCAACTTCGGCCGCAAGGGCTCATTCTACTAGAGGCATGGCGTCCTCTAGGGAGTGCCACTCCAGGAGATCTCTGAGGCAGCCGGTTGGGACCGCCCACAAAGTTACTTGTGCTTCGCGCTTGATACTTGCGTTTCAGATCGTCAAAATAGGGCCCATGGAGTGCAACAGTTACTTTTTTAGCTGACTGGTGTTCATTTTCTCTTTAGGAATAAAAAAAACCCCAATAGAATAGCCTTGAAAGAAACCGACCAAATGGCTCCTGATTTTGCAGAATTAGGTGCCTTCCTGGGTCAACATATTTAACACTTGATTTCTAAACTTGACATAAGCTGTCCCTCAAATCAGATTGGTTGATTGGAATATTGTTCCAGAATCAACAAAGATGTTGATGCAGGAACATGTAATACTTGGTAAAAAGTGTCTGAAATCAGAAAAAAATACAAGGTACAAGGTACTTAACCCGTGTTGGCAAATATTTAGGCTCATGGCAGGGTTCATTGACTCAGAGTTGACAAACTATGCATGATTAGAATGTGTTGGCCTGAATTGCAGGCAAATGTAAAAAATACATTAAACATGCATAATTCCTTTATTGTTACCAAAATATACCTGTTAGTGGAATATTTCATTGTGTTATATGATACAGAAATTCTTAAAGATCGATGTGTTGAAAGTTCCCTCTTGTGTTTAATAAGTGGCATAGCAGTCAAGTGAAAACTACAATGCCTAGTCCTCTGCCTATTGTGCATACATTAAACACATCATTTTATAATAAATTATACACACATTTTATATCTGATTTATATTATTATGCCAACCTATTATATTATTATTTTATATTATATTTATTTTTAGTATTATATGAGGTGATTTTCTCAATATTTCGATTTTTTTTTTGCACCCTCAGACTCCCAATTTCAAATAGTTTTATCTCAGCCAAATATTGTCCATTGTACATCCTTAGAAACCATACATCAATGGAAAGCTTATTTATTCAGCTTTCAGGTGATGTATAAATCTTAATTTTACAAAATGGACACATAAGACTGCTTTTGTGGTCCAGGATCACATGAAAACAGAAATAGATATTTTAAATTGTAATGATATTTCACAATATTTGACTGTTTTTCATCAAATAAATGAAGCCTTGGTAAGCGGAAGAGACATTCAAAAACATTAGAAAATCTTAATGACCGCAAACAGTAGTTGTATATATTACATTTCTTTTTTTTCTTTTTTTTTATTTAAGTTGTCATTGAAAAATATTATTCAGTGCTTAAAAGATTAGTTGATGTATGTTCAAATTTGAATAAAACGAAAATATTAAATGTTTAATGAAGTTTTGGACTATATGTATGCACAGGTTATATACATACTGTATATAGAAAAGTATGAAAGTTATTGTGAACCATTACTTTAGTTTTATATTTAAAATGAAAATGTTCTATATCTGATTCCAGGTGTCTGACAATGGAAGGCCCCTACTGAAATCAGTCACTTCTGTCAGTGTGCTTGTAGTACAGGCGGGTATGTGTCCTCCATCTGTGCTTTCTCTGGATGTTTTCATCATGATCTCAGAAGATGAGTACTTCGGAGGGATGCTGGGCAAGGTCCATGTCACAGATCAAGATGAATATGACACGCTCACGTTCACTCTGGAGCCACAGTCACATAGCTTGTTCTCTGTCATTGGCAAGGATGGCAGATTGTTGGCCCGTGGAGGCTTGGATGTGGGTTATTACAAGCTTAATGTCTCAGTCAGTGACGGTCGTTTCTCAGCCTTAGCCGGTGTCACAGTGAACGTGCTGCGGGTCACAGAGCAGATGCTGCACAGTTCTGTTTCTGTGGGCTTTGCTGGCATCTCTGCTGAGAATTTTATCCAGGACCACTGGAAAAACTTCCAAAGAGCTATCCGCAGTGTAGCCGGAGTCCGCAGGGGCGCCATGCAGTTGATCAGTCTGCAGCCTGCAGAAATGAATGACGGCCTGGATGTTCTTTTGTTCTTTGAGAGACCAGGACGAGGCGCCAGCGCGCTGGAAGCCCTCTCTCAGAAGCTCAACTCTTCCAGAGCAGCCATCAAAGAGATGACAGGACTACAAGTAGTGAGGGTATTGCATAGTCAATGCTTAAGCTCTGAGTGTCCCGGGAGTATTTGCAGACGAGTGGTCCTGCTTAATCAGACCAGTATGGCAACATACAGCACTGCCCGAGTCAGCTATGTCACCCCCAAACACAACACAACAGCCAAATGCGTGTGCACAGGTATGCAATGTGACAATGTGAAAAATCTCTCTTTTTTTTTTTAAATTTAATTTAATTATAATGTTTTTACTATTAACTATTGTGCTATTATCAATAACAATTATTATTATTACTACTATTATTATAAACTTAATTTTAATCTTAACTTTTACTTTATAATAATTATTTTTCTTTCTTCCGCTTTTCAGACAGTAAGTGCCTGAAGCATGAAACCACCTGTGTAAACAACCCATGTCCAGAGGGCTATGAGTGTGTGTCAGGCTTTGGGAAAGAAAAACACAGCTGTATATGCACAGATGGTGCCAAAGTCAAGTGCTCAGGTAACAGTAAATTAATTTCCTTATCAGATAAGACAGTGCTATCTTAAAGACCCATCACAGGTGCAGATTAAATTGTTCCCCGCTCACTTAATTAATAATAATTTGCAAGCGCTAGTGTGTAGTGTAAACACACATTCATTAAGTACAATAATACAGGGTTCATTTTCAGCTACAGTATTTGCAGATTTAATCATTATGTGAAGCAGTGTTTACATGTGCAATTTAACACACATTTATATATATATATATATACAGTATATATATATAATTTCAGCTTCACACGTTGACCTGATTGGTTGCAGGGTAGTTTGTAACCTCAGAAACACCAGCGATTTCAAAATTTTAAACTTTCAAACTTTCTGATCTCAGCAATGGTGTTGACATGAATTGTACATGGTTTGTCTTAAAACATTAAAAACACCACATAGACATACACTCACCTAAAAGATTATTAGGAACACCTGTTCAATTTCTCATTAATGCAATTATCTAATCAACCAATAACTTGGCAGTTGCTTCAATGCATTTAGGGGTGTGGTTCTGGTCAAGACAATCTCCTGAACTCCAAACTGAATCTCAGAATGGGAAAGAAAGGTGATTTGAAAGAAGGTGCTCAGTTACTGGGATTTTCACCCACAACCATTTCTAGGGTTTACAAAGAATGGTGTGAAAAGGGAAAAACATCCAGTATGCAGCAGTCCTGTGGGCAAAAATGCCTTGTTGATGCTAGAGGTCAGAGGAGAATGGGCCGACTGATTCAAGCTGATAGAAGAGCAACTTTGACTGAAATAACCACTCGTTACAACCGAGGTATGCAGCGAAGCCTTTGTGAAGCCAAAACACAAACAACGTTGAGGCGGATGGGCTACAACAGCAGAAGACCCCACCGGGTACCACTCATCTCCACTACAAACAGGAAAAAGAGGCTACAATTTGCAAGAGCTCACCAAAATTGAACGGTTGAAGACTGGAAAAATGTTATCTGATCTGAGTTTCGATTTCTGTTGAGACATTCAGATGGTGGAGTCAGAATTTGGCATAAACAGAATAAGAACATGGATCCATCATGCCTTGTTACCACTGTGCAGGCTGGTGGTGGTGTAATGGTGTGGGCAATGTTTTCTTGGCACACTTTAGGCCCCTTAGTGCCAATTGGGCATCGTTTAAATGCCACTGCCTACCTGAGCATTGTCTCTGACCATGTCCATCCCTTTATGCACCATACACCATTCCACCATGCACTCATCCTCTGATGGCTACTTCCAGCAGGATAATGCACCATGTCACAAAGCTCGAATCATTTCAAATTGGTTTCTTGAACATGAAAATGAGTTCACTGTATTAAAATGGCCCCCACAGTCACCAGATCTCAACCCAATAGAGCATCTTTGGGATGTGGTGGAATGGGAACTTCGTGCCCTGGTTGTGCATCCCACAAATCTCCATCAAATGCAAGATGCTCTCCTATCAATATGGGCCAACATTTCTAAAAAATGTTTTCAGCACCTTGTTGAATCAATGGCACGTAGAATTAAGGCAGTTCTGAAGGTGAAAGGGGGTCAATCACAGTATTAGTATGGTGTTCCTAATAATCCTTTAGGTGAGTGTTTGCTGAGGCAACAGAAGCTAATTGTGGTTTGCACCGGATACGCTTTTATCTCTTCCTGGTCATGACGTCACCTGCCCGTGATGCTCATGCTTTCCATTGGACTAGTGGACATAGATGCTTCAGACGCATTCACGTTGGAGGCGTTCCCAACGCATTATCTACGCATCGCGAGTTCCCTCGAAAGGGAACTGTAGTTGCAATGCAGCGAAAGGCAAAACTCAGTTACTGTAAATTTAAAACTGTCCTGTGAGCGACCTGTTAGCACAACTATGCTATGATTCAAAGAAATCCAAGTATGAAAACTGATCAACAAAATTCAAGAAATGTAAAGCTGCAGTAGGTAACGTTTGAGAAAACCTTGACTTAGCCTGAAAAAATTGAACAAGCACAACTTACAGGTCCCATCCCCTTGCTCGCTGCTACCCTACACCCCTCCCTCCACAGTGGAGCCTGCCGTGAACGTGCAGGCTAGTCAGCAGGGCCACCGATGATGGCGGATAACCAGTTATGGCACATTCACTAGTGGGGACGATACATCAACAATATGCTTTACATTGACTAAGGCCTGCCCATACTTTGACTACAAACTTGGTCCTCAAATCACTACGTATTTTGCAATACATGTATTGTAACTTTACAACGTTGCACACTTTCTATAAGTTATAAATAGCTAGTAACATAATATAACAGTAACTAACGTAACTTATGTAATATAAAGTAATTATTATAGCGATATGTAGGCCTAATGCTAGATGAGGTTTGCTAGTACATTTGTAAAAGGGTTCAATTGCTATGGGAAGAAGGACCGGAACCGGCGAACGTTCAACAGGTTTAATAATAAATTAACAAATACACAACGAAAGTATAAGCCAGCATCCCCTCACGGACAACACACAAAACAGAACATAAAATCACAACATAAAATCAGGCATGTTCCTCTCTCCACTGTTTTCGCTCCTCTTTCATGCCTCCGTTCCTTTGTGAGAGATGCGAGAACGGTGCGTCTCACAGGTGTCGTTCATTATCACTCTATCACGCCACCGGCCTCGCGCTGCTCTCATGTCCCTGTCCCTCGGCCTCGCCCTGCTCGCCACAATATTATTTCAGCAACATGACAAGCCAGTGAATCAGCAGGTTTCAATTGTTGCTTTGCACAGTGCATGACATTTCATCTACACGTAACGCGGCTAGAGTTTTGACACTGAGACAATGGGCTCTGTCTAATTCTTTCTTTTTTCACTTGTTTATCGTCATCACTTTTTGTCTTTTACCCATCTTTGTTTTATGAGCAGATTTCTGCAAATGGCAGTAGTACCATTGGGAGGAGCCAGAGGAGCCTGATTTTTTCACAGATTATCTGTCTCATATTCTACCATCAGGACATAATGACATATGTAACAAATATTTGTTAACTTTGCAGCTTTAAGGCCATTTTCTCAGTTCTAGAGTTGCTGTAGTTTCTGGGCTTTCCCTTTGTGGGGCAGCCCAGATTGTGAAATGTTTTAGTATGTGTACTCTGTGCATGACATTTTCGACAATTTCCCATGGCTTACAATTTAGTTAGACATTTATTTTTACAGCCAGTTTTAAAGGTTTGTAATTAGATACCAGCAACCATGATCCAAACTTAAATGTCATCTGTATTTATTTTAATTAATGTGCTACTAACTTTATTTCCTGTTTTTCTCTATGTTCTAAGGAGGATCTTCAATGACATTTAGTCAGAGCAGCTATATTAAATATCGCCTGAGAGAAAGCACAAGAGAAGTGAAGCTCACGCTCAAGTTAAAAACTCTCTCAAGGGAAGGAACAGTAATGCTTGCCAAAGGAATAGGCCACAGCATTCTACAGGTATAGAAGAATATTAAATCTCTGTAGTTCATTTTTCTTTAATGTTCTTAAAGGAGAACTCCGGCACAAATTGAACCTTTGGTATAATAACACATTGGAAACTAGTCTACCGTTCTCTAAAATTTGTTTTCATGATAACCGAATGTAAAGAGTTTTATCTCTAAAAACTGTTTAGCGCATAACGCTTTTAATACTGACTGTTTGTATTTCTCAGATAGTTGGAGGCAGACTGCAGTTCCAGTTTGACTGTGGTTGGGGTCTCGCCACAGTTTCTGTGCACAGTGTCCTGGTGAATGATGGACAGTGGCACATGGCAGAACTTGAAGTGAAGGGTAACTATGCCAGGTTGGTTCTGGATCAGCTCCATTCTGCGTCAGGCATCGCGCCCGGTCCCCTCCACTGCCTAAACCTGGGGGACCAGGTGGTCCTGGGTGGACACACTCAAAGTCTCATTTCCAGACTCAGGCGCAATCTGCCTGTATCAAACAGCCTAGAGGCCTGCATGGACTCCGTGCTGTTTAATGGACAGAGACTGTCCTTGGACTCAAATGATCCATTAGGAGTTGCCATTGAGGACATGGCAGGAGTGTCTCCTGGCTGTGTCTTCTTCCCATCTCCAGACTGCTCTAGTAATCCCTGCTTGAATGGAGGGAGTTGCTTGATGAGGCAGAGTGGAGGTAAACTGAACCCCCACATACTGTAGATTAATGAAAATAACATGCTAATCGTATCTGTTTTAAAATAAAAGTGAATTATTCTTTTCATATTCATTTTTCAGATACATATTAATTATAATAGTAATAGAAGAATTGGAATATAATTTCTATTTTTGTAATCATTTTATAGTGACTTTACAGACGTTACCTAGTTACCGAACAACACCATCATCAGAATCAGATATCAACATGCCGTTTATGTTTAATACACTTTGGCCTGGTTTTACAGACAGGGCTTAGATTAAGCCAGGATTAGCCCTTCCTTAGTTCATCCCAAGTACTTATAACTTTATGTCTTGAAGGAGTTTATGTCCCCTAATGTGACTTAATATTCCATTTTCAAAAAACAAAAAAAAGGCTCATTGTGAGATATTAAGTCACATTGGGAGTGTTTGGTGTTAGTAATACTTTTATTCAGCAAGAATGCATTACATATTACAAATCCATTCATTTAAATTCTAATAATATTTAATTATATTTCACAATAATTCTACTTTTCTTGTTTTCTTACCAAATAAATTTGGCACAATGGTGTCACAATTTGTCACAATGGTGGCATTATTTTTTACTGTGTAACTATGTTTCCTATTTTTAACTTAATCCCAGAATTACATTTTAATTTTTAATCTGATGATAGGTTAAATATAAATTGGAATAACAGAAACATTTGTGCTCCTCAGTAGATGATACATCTTTATCTGACCTCCATATTATATCTATCAGTTGGTCTATTGCTGAGTCATTGATATTCTCCCAGGTTATGCCTGTAAATGCAGTACTTCATTCTCTGGGACTCACTGTGAGGTCAAGATCAGTCCTTGTGACTCTAACCCTTGTCTGTATGGAGGAACCTGCATCCAGAATAACCTGGACTACTCCTGTAAATGCAGGGGCCAGTACTCAGGACAAAGGTAAAGCACTTTCAATGTACTGTAACTCTAAAATCTTCTAATGGGACATGATTACTGTATGCCTAAAACTCTCTGTATGACCACAGGTGTCAAATAGGTCCTTACTGCAAGGAGAATCCATGCCAAAATGGTGGAAAGTGTATAGACAGTCTTGATGGACCAATATGTCAGTGTGAGTCAGGATTCGAAGGAGAAAGGTCTGTTGTTTTTATCGACATCTTAACAAATCTTAGTACTTTCCTCAAGTACGTTTGACAGAGCATTTTTGTTTTTTAGGTGCATGATTGACATCGACGAGTGTGTGGACAGGCCTTGCTTCAATGACGGGGGTTGTGTCAACACACATGGATCTTTTAACTGTTCTTGCTTGGTGGGATTTGGTGGGAGACTGTGTGAGATGGACACAGAAGTGAGAAACCAACTTATATCTTCCTCCTGGAACTCTTGGATTGGAGAACTGGTCACAATTCTGGCATTTCTGATAGCCATCTTTGTTTTGACTTTGCTCTTCTTAATAATGTGGAAAGGAACCTCCAAACTTGGCAAGAGAGATAAAGACCTTGATAAGTACAAAGATGTTGATTCTTACATTCAGAGGTCCAGTGTTTACAACCAAGCCCGAAAAGAATCCTGCCCGGACACCCCGCCGCAGGTCCCGGTGCGACCCATCTCATACGCACCCAGCATTCCTGGAGAATGTCGAAACAACCGAGGCTCCGTGCCTGAGTTCAGCAGTTTTACGCCAGATCCACTCTTTGGTCTTAGGAAGACTGTGGCTGTGTGCAGTGTTGCCCCTAACCTACCACATTGCAAAGCATCCCATTCACACTCGGAAAAGGATTCCATACATGCAGATTGGGATGAGGAGTATGATGGTAAGGGTAGTCTGAAGCTTCAGTTGGAGAAGCCGTTTAATTCAGATTTACGTCATATGGTAAAAAAGTCTATCACAACTTTAATTTATGCTCTCAGTAAAAAAAGTAAGTACTATTTGGCTGGTTGTTGTGATCTCCACATGTGGCCGCCATGTAGATTGTCAGCTTTTGCTTTTTATTTAAGACTTTTTTTTTATTTAATTGCTCTTTACTTTTCTGTTCCTTCTTGTATATTCATTCTTCCAGAAAAAGTCCAAGACTTGACTTCCTGTTTAGAAATTGAGGACGACAGTGTTTCCTTTTCTTGTGATAATACAGGGTTGCGGTCCATCTGCTCCCTCCAATCAGACATCACGGATGACAGTAAGTTGCACTAACCAAAAATTTTAAGTTTGAAATTATATAATTTAATCGAAGACTTTTCCACAAATGCACAAATCTGACAAATGTTGGTATTTTTCTGTAGAGCATCTATTTTTTATTTTGTGCACTGGTTTATTCACTTATACATCTGTGTGTCCTTATCTATAACAAATTCAGCCCCAATATGGGTTAAATCTGAGCAGAGATTCTGAACAGACTGCAGTGTAAGTGTTATACACGTGATTAATTAGAACTAGGGGATTAGTCACCAATTCATGTTTTCTTTTAGACTAGAATGTGTTTAACCTTATGGTGCTATCGTTCAAAAGTTTGGGGTCAGTGGGGTTTTATTTTTTAAAAAAATAAATAAATTTATTCATGAAGAATGCATTGTATTGATCAAAAGTGACAGTAAAGACATTTATAATTTATATATGGTAAGAGTTGTGGCAGCAGAAAATTACATCACAGGAATTATTATAATTTTTTTAAATATAGTACAAAATAAAACGGTTATATTAAATTGTAATAATATTTCACAATATTACTGTTTTTTTTTCTGTATTTCTGATCACATAAATGCAGTCTCTGTGATCATAAAATACTTCTTTCAGAAACATTAACAAATCTTACTGACCCACAAACTTTGGAACAAAAGTGTAAAATGCTTTTGGTGATATACTATTACTATTCTTGTGATCATTTTATAGTGACTTTACAGAAGACCTAGTTACCGAACACCATCATCAGAATCAGATATAATACATATGGGCCTGGTTTCACAGATAGGGTTTAGATTAACACAGGAATAAGTTCTATTAAGACATTTGTAGTTTATTTTTTAAAAGTGCCTTAGGAAAAAAAACATCACTTGTGCATCTTAAGACAAAACAGTGTCACTGACATTTTAAGATATCAGTGCAATTTCCTTTCAGTTAAAACAGCTTAAACATGTATTTTAGTCTGGGACTAGGCTTGAACCTTGTCTGTGAAACCAGGGCATGGTCTTTTGTAAAGTTTTATGCAACTAAAATAAGATTTAATAACTGATGTTTTATTCTTTACTTTTACAAGCTTTCAAAGTGAAACACCCTGTCAAATCATAGATTGACATGGTGAGAAAAAGGTATTCAGCATGTTACTGTACATATCACATCATGTTAGTGGTGTCATATGTATCATCATTCCATATGTTTCTCTAACTCACTTCAGCTGATTGTTTACTCACTGTTAAGCACTGACCAACTTTATCGCATGGGCATTTTAAGAGAATAATTTAGCCATTTGAAATATGATTAAAACTCTTAAAATTTGAATATGTAATTTTTTCTTGTGAGCAGAAGAGACTTCTTTCAAAACCATTAAAACAATTCAACCCCAAACTTTTAAATGGTTGTGTTGTAGTCGTGTATAAACATTTACAATATAGTGACTCTGTTTATCAGTACCTACATTATATATATATAGAGCTTAACACATTTTCCATCTCCAATAAATGTGTAAATGTCTGGTTTTCTAACAGGCTATTACTGGGATACCTCAGACTGGCTGCAGAATATCTACTCTCCTGGGGTTCAAGGTTTTCTCCAGTATGAATTTGTACAGATGTCCTCCTCTATGCACATCGCTCCAGATGTTCTTGACATAGACTACCTTACTCCTGGTGGTGACATAGAGAACTTCCTGCCAATTCCTGCACTCCCTCTTAATACTGACATGTCTGCAGTTCCAGAGTACGACCAGCATACCAGGTCAGAGGTCCATCACGTTAACCACCCAACAGCAAGGTCAAACTCCATGTTAACTTCTAGTCAACATCCCAGCCATTGCTACCCACGGCCCATTGAGACAACCTCTGAGATTCCTCAGGGCCAACATATAGGACCTGCTGAGATTACTGATTTCTCGGAAAGTCATTTGTGAGCCACACACTTTTAAACTCACTTACACAGACTTGCCAGCCAATGGCTAAAAATTCCATTCTGTGGTCAGTGACCGTGAAAATCTTAGTGAAGCTGCAGTTGATAACACCTGAGGTGTGATGTGGTGGGTTGATGTGCTGATTTGAAACCACATTTAGTCTCTCATGCAGAATCATTCATTTCTTTATTCAAAAAGTCAAATTTTGTATGGTAGGCTATGTCACTGTTACACACATTCCTAGATTTACTTTAAAGGTGCACTCTGTATTTTATTTTCTTCTAAAAATTACAGTGCCAACATGACAGTGTCTTGGACTTTATATTCTCACCTAGTGGTATAAATGGAGCATCACACTAAAGTACTGTTTTTTAGTTATCGATGCCATGTGCTATTCACTGTCAGCCATGATTTATTCTGCAAGTGAAAATGTCCAAATCAGGGAATTAAGATAAACGGATGAGTACTTGGCCTCAGATATGACTGATCTTCATTTTATGTGTATGTGATTTGAAACATTATTTTTATGGCACTATGGATTCCTTTTGTGCATTTCTTATGAGGAAAGAAACAGTGCACCTTGAAATTATTGCGAGTTACTGTCATTTATGTGCCACTAGCTTCACCAATTACAGAACTACACTGCCACCTTCTGCCATTGGTTTGGACTAGGGATGGGCAATAATTAATCGCGATTAATCGCATCCAAAATGAAAGTTTTTGTTTACATAATATGTGTCTATGTAGTGTGTATAATTATTTTGTATATATAAATACACACACATGCATGTATATATTTAAGAAATATTTGCATGTATATACTTTATATATATTTATACATAATTAATATTATATACATATAAATATTTGACATATTAATAACACATTTTTCTTAAATATATACATGCATGTGTGGGTATTTATATATACAAATTAATTATACACACTACACACATATATTATGTAAACACAAACTTTTATTTTGGATGTGATTAATCGCGATTAATCGTTGCCCATCCCTAGTTTGGACAGACATTTACAGTAGTCCAACCCCAAACTCATGCCATTGGTTTAGACATTGTTTGCATTATATTGAAGTATTTAAAATTTTTCACACTTCAGCTTTAATTAAACAAATTAAAAACTTTAGAAAGACAAGAAAATGTATTTGTCTTCTCTTGTGTATCTGTTTTTTTACACAATAATGTACGGTCTGTAAAATGTATATTATGCTCTCCTTGTGGACTCTTTGAAATGTTGATGTTCTGTACTGTATGTTCAAAAATGTAAATATTTTTTAAGACATATACATTGTTCTGTCTCATTTATTCATAGAGTTTTGGTGTTTGTTTTAAGACTGTAAAGAACCTAAAGTTCTCTTTTAACAAGTAACTTGTACATCAATCAACAGCAAGAGGTTGGGGAGTAGAGAGCATCTCTGTGTTAATATAGCGAGTTAAAAATGTGATCCCTTCACTGTTCTTCTGCTGCTTTACCCCACTATTGCAATCAAACATTTGGGGACTTAAACTTTGTCGACTTGGTCTCATTTGGGGACTTTTCCAAAGCTGTGAAATTTTGCATTTGCAAAGGTTGATCCGGAGCTAATAGCAGATGTCCTCAATAGGGCTGTTATGGCAATAATGATTAGAAGGTTGTCTGCTATCAAGGTTATATTTAATAGTAAAATTAGGAGCGTTTTGCTAATTTACAACTTAGGGCATGACCACGTTAAAATTTTAATGGTTTCAAATCTTTGCAAAATTCAAACTTAAAATTTTAGAATGATTAATGAAACCTCTACATTATTTTACAGTATTCAGGTCAAGTTTATTTTTAGCTATAGTTCTTTTCACAATAGGCTACATACCGTTTCAAAGTAGCTTTGCAGAAAATGTTTCATTGTTACAATTTCCTATATATGTTTAATAAAGTAATGTCCATATAGCATTTATAATATAGACTTTTTGTAATATAAAGCATTTGTAAAATAGCAGTTATAATATAATGTCATTTTTTAGTTAAGCAGACACAACGACCATGTTAGGCAGCAATTGCAACTTGTGCTCATAATGATAAAATAGTAAAATAATAATAATATAATAAACAATTGAAGGATAATACTTGATAGTTTTGTATTTTGTCATTTGAAGTCTTCGCAAACAGCCTATGGCATTTCTAAACATCATATACAAGTATTAGTGCATGTCAGCAATATCAAAATAGGTGTGTCAACTTCATATAGGCCTAATTCAAAGTATTTGCATTGAAAGCAGGATTACCAGGCCAGATTCTTTCCATATTATACATATAATTGAACACTAGAGGGCAGAACACTCATAAATTCAAACAACCAGGTTGACTGCATGCATAACTGTAAAAAATTCAGACATTAATACAGCTTATTTTGATAACGATAATATTTTTGAACACTTAATGTTGAGACTATTCCTATGAAATAAATATTTTCATTTAAGAATGTTGCTGATAGTTTTGATGATTCTCTATTGATTGAGTGAGGCATAATATAATGGCCACAGCATACTTATAGCCTATACTGGAGGGAAGACAGGTCTACACTAATGCATGTCTTACAAATCACTATATGAGAGTAACAGCATGTAAATGCTTTGACAAGTAGTGACACAGGCCTGAGGCGAGGAACAGGATACATTCGCGTAACACAGTGTGACAGGTTGACCTTGTATAATGCAGTCATGTGACGCTGTCATTGTGTGACCTTCCCTGGTCCTTGATGAGCAACAAATATTTCAAGGATCTCAATGAATGGGAATGCATGTTCAAAATGACATAATACCATGCTAATTTTATATGGTATTAGGCCTACTGGCTTTATATGGAATGCATGGAATCCATAGATAACTTTTGCGAAAATTCACACCAGATACTGTATACTGTGCACTAAACACTGTATCCCACAGTTAAATGTGCTCAACTTGACCTTCCATTTCCAGTCACAAATGAATATATGTCCATATATTCCGCAATATATGCCAGTCAGGATTTTCAACATCCCTTTGAGTGAACTGCCAAATAAGATATTTTCATTTATTAATCAAAAAAGTCAAAATAATCCACAAAAATCTAGTCAACTTAAGTGTCTGAGTCATTTCCGTGCACTCGTATAACCCAATGCACATAGAAGAAGAGACAAGCTTGGCTATAATAGATGATTGAATTTGTAATGTCAATGATGGATGGAAACTCTCTCCCAAACAAGACGTGCGTGAAGGGGGTTTTCAGCTTGAGTTAGGCTGCTGTCTATAAATAAGCATACCCTGAGTAGCACATACATACAATCAATGTCCTCCAAAAATATATGCATAAATAAATATATAAAAATACATATCTTTAAAGCTGCAGTCCGCAGTTTTTCGTCTTTGTCGCCATCTCTGTTCGAAATCTGCAATTGCAGTTATTCGCGGAATTATCAACTTTATGTGAGTTGTGCCTCGACATGGCACAACGCAGATGAATACAATGTTTAAGCAGAGTGTGCGTTGAGGAGAATGTATGGCTGTCAATCTCTTTTCCTGCCGGTTCGCCGTTTCAGGGCACCGAGGTGTCAGCGTCCTCATCCAATCCTCCGATGTTATGGGAATAGACAGTTATATTTAAAAGGAATAATGGAGGCATTTATAATTCCCTTTATGCTACGATAAAATCATAGTTATTCCAATGTGACATGGACAAACAGACACACATAAAAACACATCAAATATATCTGGTTAATTGTCTTTAAAAACAGAAACTTATTTCTCCTTAGCGAGAATCACATTCTTTGGGCATTCACATTCCTGGGTCGTAAAATGTAATGCTTATAACTGGACACCACACTCTGCCCACCTGGGAGACTCCAGATTCTCTACAGCGGACACCTTGATCACACCAACGTTCCAAAGCGGCCAATACTTCGCAGTCACGTGACTACCATACCTGGCGGGCAACAAACGCTGACAAAATGGCGACAAACAGTGGCCAGCCAGGGAAATTTCAGCCTTGCAAATTTCCAATATTACAATCAATTAACTATTTAGACCATATGTCACCAAATGTTAAAATTAGATATCAAAAGATTAATATATTCGGAATATGTGATCCATACACAACACCTGCTGAGGTTTTCATTGCTTTGAAGCTGGCCAGACTTGGAGTTTGGAGATTTTACATTATATATCTTATAGCGAATCCGTCACCTTACACCGCACAAAATTTTATTTTTTTAAAGAAAAAATTAGGATTGGATTAACATGCTGTCGAATGGGAGGTGAAAAACAGGAGTATCTTCACAATCAAAGCAAAGGTCCATTTGCTTATATTTTCAGCTTTACACAAAGTAACATCTGTTCCATCGTGTGATGAAGTCTTCATCTGAATATGTATACCCTGCCTGGCTAGCAGGATGTCAAAAATCGTAGCCTACCTGCTTATCCACTCCACATAGCATGGGACAACAGAGTAGCGAAATGTGTATAATCCTGTTAGCAATCTGTTAGGCTGTAATGTAGTAATAAGTGTACAATAGTATGCATGCAAAGTAACTGTAAGTAATAAGTAGATGCGGTGCAACAGTAACATGTCATTCTCCATGTATTCATCTTCTCATATCATGTCAAATCACATACAGATGAACACGTTCTCGGCAGCTACTGGCGAACGTGTAAGCACATTTATGTTTAGATTACACGATTGACATTGGTGCATCCAATCGCACAACAACTATCTGGCATGTCGTTTTCACCTCAAAACACCAACGTTTGTATATTAAAACTGGCGACGTCCTGGCAAGATCCTTGATTAGTTTACTGGGTTTCGTTGATAGACAACGATGTTCTTGCCCGCCAGTACTTGTGACGTCACAAGCAAATTATGAATAGGGTGTCTGTCTATGTATTTATTATGTCTATGGATGACAACTGTAACACCCGCTTTGTCTTTTCCATCCTTTTTCCCTACCGTTTATCTTGATGCCAGGCTTTACTACAAGCCTTTCTTTATTTCATAAACCTCAAAATGCCCTTTTGGTGGTTGAGTTCATTGCTCAGCACAGAACATGGCATTTTTTTTTTATTTTATATTCACTTCTCAAATGCTTATTGAATACAGAGAACTCACAATACTGTAGCACAAAGTCCTGGAGCAACATGCCCCAGAAAAAAAACAAACAAACAGTGACTTAGGCTACTCATGGCTGTGTCATAACGAATCAGAAATATAATTAAGCTGAATATGCTGTCTGTTCCTTTACGGATGTGCTGTTGCTCTCGAAAATTGGTTTAATGCCTGAGGTAGGTCATTACACAAATGTCAACATTAATCATCCTGGTCAGGCCATTTTTTACTTATGTGTTCACATGGCTTTTAGAGGATCTTCTTTGAATAAACTGTAGTGTACAAATCTCAAGTCCCCTGAAAGTTTGTCAACAACACCATCATAATATGTAGGATTGTCCACAACCACTGTATGGTCATTGTGGTGAGCAGGACAAGGTCGAGGGCAGAGGAAGGAAGGCGTGAGGCTGGTGCCGTGATTACCCAGCAAGCCGTCATTTAAACGCCTCGGTTAAATATAGACCCGACATAGTCCGGCTATGTGTAACCCACTTCTAGTCTAAAACACTGAATCTGGCAACATGTAATTTTTTTTCAAAATAATTTGCGAGATGTAAGATATCCTATCATGTTAGCAGTCAACTGTAAT